AACACTTTAAAGCTGTTGAATTCTTTATTCTCTTAGGGAATTCTTTACACTCTTAGGAAATTCTGTGGCAACCTCTTTGCATTTGATGGAATCTGACTTTCCATATTCTTCCTATCTACTCTTGTAGATATCATATTAGCATATGGTTAAATTCTGGCTATTTCTCAAGTCTTACCTAGCTCTGGGTCACAACTTCTTAAGTCAATCTAGTGACAGTTTTGACTTTCTAATTTTTTCCCCAGTTTTGCTGCATTTTTGAACTACCAATTACTATATGTATAGTCTAGCTACAGTATATATATATATATATGGAGAATATATACATATATACATACAGTTGACCCTCTGTATATGTGGGTTCCGCATCCATGGATTCAACCAACCTCAGAATGAAAATATTTGAAGAAAAATTGCATCTGTACTAAAGTCGTACAGACATTTTTCCTTGTCATTATTCCTTTAAACAATACAGTATAACAACTATTTACATTATATTAGGTATTACAAGTAATCTAGAGATGATTTAAAGTATACCAGGGGATGTGTATAGATTATATGCAGTTACTTTGCCATTTATATAAGGGACTTAAGTATCGCAGATGTTGGTATCTGGAGGATACCTGGAACCAATCCCCTACAGATACTGAAGGACTACTACATATGTGTAAAATAAGGAGGACTAAATATATATATTTTATAAGGAGGACTAAAGCTGTGTTTATTTTGGAGGAAAAGATAGGGAACCACAAGAATCAACTTAACTGTTAGAATCTCTTTAAAAATTTAACTACTGTTTAAATAGTGGGATATAAGATAAATGTATAAGAATCAGTGGCTTTTCTGTAGGCCTTATATGAAGAAAACTAACAGAAAGTCTTAAACGGGAAGATTTTTTCCATGTGACTATGTTTAAGACAGTATCTGCTTTAAAGTTTTCCCGGGCTCATTTACAGGTTTTAGTTTAGTCAGAGTCTCAATAGGACTTTTCTTTTTGGAAGAATGGGAAAGAGGCAGTGGGAGGTAACTTGAAAAAAATGATTTATAACTAATTTTGAATAGTCAGTCTTTTTAACACATTAACTGCCATGTGAGTTGTATTTAACTCTTGCTAGTTTTGAGCCCAGGGCCTTGTGAAGCATATGTAACTTACATTTCTCTTCACCTTGGGAGCTGTGTGAACTCTTTTTCAAGTTGCATATAATTCATGCACAGAAAACAATAAAAAATAACAAATTTTTCATTAAATTAGAAAGGATCATTGTGTTTTCAAAGTCTTTATTCTGTTTTCGTAATAGAACACTGTGGCCCCAAGGAAAAAATTTTTTTTCTAGCGTGGCAGTGTGTTAAAAAGTAGTAATGACGTACTTGTCATATTAATATGAACAAAGACTATAATGTTGCTATGATAGGATGTTGTAGGTCTGATAGACAACCGAATTGAAACAGACCCTGACATATCTAAGAATTTGGTGGCATCATAAATCTGTGGAAAAGGAAGTATTATTCAATAAATGTTACTAGAATAATTGGTTAATGCTTTGGAAGAAATATAAAGTTAAAATTTCTCCTCAAATCTGTACTAAAATAAATTCCAGGTGAATTAAAGTTAAATAGAAGTTAAATAGTAAAATGAAACAGAAGCCATAGGAAGGTGGAAGAAATGTAGATAAATACTTATTTAATGACCAACAAGAAGGAATTTATAAGCATAGAAACAGTGAAAGAAATCACACAGGGAAAGGGGAATCATTCCTAATATGTAAGAGTTGAAAAGTTCTACAATAAAAGCAACTATAAATATAATTAATAGACAAACAGAAAAATTGGAAAACTATTCCCAACAAATATGACAGAGTATTTGCTCATACATGTGCGCACGCACACATGTACGCACACCCTGTTGGGGAGCAGGGGTGAGAGTACCAGTGGTTCTTAACCATTTTGGAATAACCATTTCCCAGAAAAATGCATGTGCTGTGTATGCACACCAGCAGGCACAATATACATACACATGCCCACAACTTTCAATACAGTTTTAGGAGACACACATGTTTATTAGAGTTTTATGGCCCACAAAAGAAGTGCCTGGTAAGTATGAGTAAACTTCAACCACCCAATTAATTAAAGAAACTGAAGATTTTTAAAAATGATAGTATCAGATATTGGTGAAAATATTGCTAATGGGACATAAATTTTTCCCTAGAAAATTGTTTGACTTTTAAAATGTCAGAATCTGATTTAAAAGTTCTGTTTCTAGGAATTACTTTAAGAAAACATCAGAATCTCAGACAAATTTATATGCAGCAATGATTAATATGTACGTAAGTGCTCAACTTTAGTGTAATGGTTACTATAAATTATGGTTTAACCATGTAATAGAATATCGTGGAGCCATTATATATGTTTTTGAAGACTAGTGATGTGGGAAGACAATTATACTGTTAAATAAAAAAAGGAAATACCCTAAGAGGTTAAGAAAAAACTTTATTTTTAGGTGATGGGATTATTGGTGGTTTTAAATTTCTTTGTTAATTTCTGTATTCCTCCCCTCATTTTATAGTGAGCATATTTTAGTTTTATGGTTAAAACACTTTTAAAAATATGCAAGTTATTCTGTTATATAATTTTTAAAGAGTTTTACTTAAAAATCAGTAAAATGACAATGATTGACACTCTAAAATATATGCTATTTTGGGTTTTTTTTTCGGAAAATGTAAATTATTACTGGTTCAAGAAATTTTCTCTTAAAACAGATGTTGAACTAAGACCGAAAGAATTAATTTTTGGATATTTTTTCCTTCTCCTACTAGAAGTAGAAGACTTATTTTCTTCACTTAAACATATCCAACATACTTTAGTAGATTCTCAGAGCCAGGAGGATATTTCACTGCTCTTACAACTTGTTCAAAATAAAGATTTCCAGAATGCATTTAAGATACACAACGCTGTCACAGTACACATGAACAAGGCCAGTCCTCCATTTCCTCTTATCTCCAACGCACAAGATCTTGCACAAGAGGTATGTATTCTGAACAGCTCGTTGACATCTACAATGTAATTATTTGTGATAGTAAGGCAGTATTATTGGAAAATACTATGTGACTATCAGGCTTGTTTGAATTAATTATTGCT